GGGTGGGGGGGTGTCTTAAAAAAATTCCTCCGTGGGGGGGTGGGGGATGGGTATGGATAATTTTTGGAACTACGCAATTCAAGTTTTAAAGTAAAATATTAAAGAAAAAAACATTAAAAAGATTTGATGAATAAATCATAATTTATATAGGACAACCTACCTGATGACTTGGTCCAACTCTGATTTCTCCTTTAGTATTGGCCAGTCTCCTACACACAGCACAAAAGAATTTCAACTGATTAATACAAATTTCACAAAATATAATTTAAAACCCAGATGTGTTTTTTCAAAACATTTCGTTTTTAGTTTTACAGGTACATGTAGAAACCTGGTCATTTTTGTATTTTTACTGGTACAATAAAAGAAATTTACCAAGTTTGAAGTAAATATAGTGTTTGCAAATGAATTGAATATATTTTGGTGTCAATGAAACTTGGCAAAATGTTTTTGTTACTGAGTCTAGTACAAATTTATCCAAGAAGCTTTTTATTAGTTATTGACGTAGGATTAGAAAAAATATGAATTTCTTATCATTAAGAATTTTGAAATGGAACAAAGAAATGTCACTCATCTTTAAAGACAAGTACGTAGCCTGCTGAGAAATGCTATTGATACATGCACTTAGTCAGGACACTTGTTTAACTAAGGGATGTCTATCATTGAATAGAGCACCAGTAACAGGTAATAGATGTCAAAATGCATTGACATTTTCCGTTAATACACATGCACAGATTTTGAATAAGACTATATAAATACGCACATAGTACCAGTTGCAATGGTTTGAGAAGATTATATTTGAACAATGAATACAATACCATGAGAAACCATGTGCTGTAAGGATAATTCCTGACCGGTGTCTTTTTGTTAAGCAGTTAGAAACTTAAAATTAAATTCTGTGGAGCTACAGACTGGACTGTACTTTGAAATAAAATTTTGTATCACTATGTAAAAAAAAACTTTTTTCTGGGTTGTCTTAAGGCGAATAAAATGGTACACCTAAAATAATTTTTATTCCTATATAAGACATAAACTTCTGATTTTTCTCCAGGTTTTCCAGTTTTCTCCTTCCACAAAATCAAATTCTATATTCCAATTCAATCATGGAACAAGCTAGGGCCACAGGTTTGTTAGCCACAGGCTATTAAGTCATACTCTTTTCCCTTAATATAAAGCTTTGGCTGTTGTACTACAGCATGTGACAATCACTGCTAGAGCAAGGTTCCAACAAGGTGAAAGCCCAAGACCAAATTATAATTTAGAGGTTGATCTTTGAGGAGAATCCTTGAAGCACAGGAGAGAACCACCAAACCTCCTTTTTTCATGAGGGTAGCACTTAATAGTCAGTGGCTAACACACCTGTGGCCCTCATTCCTAATCGAAAACAACTCTACTAACATATGACAACAAGATTCAATTCCAGGTCACACTGGTGAGAGGCTGCACAAAGCACCTTCACTTACCTTGTTTCTGGGTTATAGCCAAGAACATAAAAAAATGTATCATCTTTAGAAATATACTCCTTAAGATTATCAGCCAACTCCACAAATGGACGGACTTTACATTTGCCTCTGAAATAAATAAGTAAATAATTTTTCCTATAAATATAATGGCAAGTCATGCTAGTCTGTGGTCATTATGACCAGCTAAATTAGTTTTAGCTTCATCATATCTTGTGTTTGGCTTAATGTTACTGGTTAAAATAACCGACAAGGCAAAGCTTTGGCTGGTAAAGTTCCAATTCTGGCCAGACTTGGTGTGATGAGAAGTATCATCTTTTACCAAACAATAATTACTCATCATGAGTTTATTCAATAATATCATATACTAATACTCTCAATAATAAGATTGCAATATTGTACCTTAATGCGTGAGCGGGATATACATCTGTGGCATCGGAAATAAACAACTCTCTCTCCTTGACCAACTCTTCTTCAAGAATATGATCACTAGAACCTGTAAAAAAAATTAATTCCTCGATTACTCCATGAAGAAATTTGATTCTTACTTTTTGATATCTTATTCAAAATGCACATTTTTGGGGAAAAAATTAAAAATCCTCCAGTGCTTCATTTTGAATTATTTCTTAGAAGGAAAGAAAAGGATTTCTCCTTTCAAGTGGATTTCTTTCCTCATTTTGTTATTGTTGTTYCTTATTAACTTTTCTTTTCTATTTATAACGCACATATTGCATGTTAAAGCACTGGTTTCATTGTATATAGCAACTATAATCTTGTTTTGGACTTATTCATTAATCACTATATCAATAATGGTTCAAATTTATCATCCAAAGGTCATTAGCTTACCATTTTCTGTATTTCTGTCTTGCACAAGTAGCTGATAGACCGACTCAGGAACTTCAGATGGGCGATAATACCAGCGCACAGTAACAACAAGGTTGTCACGCTTACTCTGTTGAAAAAATTAATTAATTAAGAAATTAGCTCATGTTCACATGCATAAATAAAATAATATATAAAATATTAGCATATTATATATATTGTACAGTTGATCATGAAGCTGATATTTTTGTATGGTATGGTATAATATAGGTGAGTACTAAATATTGAACAGTTCCAGAAAATTCTATCTCCTCAATGGAGTGGAAGTCAATATTTCTAAGTGGTAGGGAGGATCTGAGGAGGGTATATTGTGAAATAAGTGTGGTATAAGTATTATAGCACTTCCTGTTAGGGCAAGAGAGTACGTTTAACTGCAATCCATCTACATGGAAAGGTTTTTAATTTTTAAAAATTATATATTAGCTAATAACTATTTTAATTTCAATGAATGCATTCAGAATTCAAGCCAAGAAATTGAAAATTTGTGGGTGGTTCTAGCTACTACTCAGCAGGACAAAACATCATATCTATTGCAGGTGTATATAATAAATACCATAAAAGTGAAAGCCAACTATCAACAATATCTGATTCAGTAGAGTGTATAACATAACAATGTCATTTATCTTTGTCAAAGAAAAAACTAGCAAAATGGTAATAATAGCAGCTTTTGAATATATTTCTGTTGTACCAGTAATAACATTTCTGTCATACCCAGTAATAAACTTCTTCAAAATTGAATTTACTTTAAAAACAATTAAAATCATGATAATGATGTGTATTAAAACAATAATTATGATATAAAACAACTGGATTCAGTTCCTTATTGAGGGATGAACAATTTGCTTATCTCATACACATATAGAAGGGAAAAAATTGATTTATCTTGCAGTTTTTTCAATATCATTTTGAGCAATCTCGTAACTTTTCTCATAATCTTCTTATATCGATTTTTGTACAAACAACTCAATGAAATTGGATTAAATGAAATTGAATTTAAGTATATACATAACGTAATAAAAATATTTTTTACTAGTTTTTAGCTAGTTATCTCTTCGTAATAAAAATATGACAAGTAAAGGTTTACTAAAAAGGTAAAGACAGCAATACATTGATTAAAATTTCCTAGATCATTATCTTCCGTAATGATGCTAAACAAATTATTATTTAGTGTCCAACTGTAATGATAAATTTGGAGTCTCTTTGGTTACCTTAGCAACTAAGGCAAGTCTCAAAAATGTTTTTGAAATTTTTATCAAGTGCATTTTGAAAAAAAATTCAACTTGCATAATAACTAAAACAACAATAACCCATTTTCTTTACACTCTGAATAAATTAAAGAGATGGTTTTCAATCACAGTTTTTAGCAATTTCTTTTTTGAGCAAAAGATTAATCGTATAAAGATAAAAATCTACTTTTTAAGCTTACGGATGTCTTAGATTTAATGACTGTTTCTCTTCTGATATCTAAGAAACTTTAAAATCATATTTGATGGCATTTATTAAAAGTATGAATGGATTTGAAAACAATACTGCTGTATTGCAATAAAACAATAAATGATTTGTAAAAGGGGACAATGATATGTTGTTATTCAAATGGTACATAACATAAAGTATATAGTGATTTTACTTCACTTATGAAATAGTTTATACTAGACATATAGAAGTTAGTAGATCTTATATCAATCATTTTCTTGTGTCTATTTGAGTATTATAAATTAACAAGTATTATATTTTCACAGGTTAAATCAAATCACTTTAATGCTTTGAAGTCTGCTGTCAAAATGTTACAGTTGCTTAAAAGCGAAAGGGAAGTTAAGAATAGATGATAGGATGGAACTGTCAGAGAACTGCCAATCTGTCAGGCGTTTGTGGCTTCCTTCATCTATCCACTAATATATGTATCCCAACCACAGAACTTGACATATACAATGAAATGATTACAATTTACCACATAGTACAGCCAAGCCCCAAAGATTAGAAAAGCATGTGTTGAGTTTGAAATACTTGTGGTGTAAGTTCTTCAATCAGTATTAATTATAAGATTATACTTTCAAATAGAAGTGAAAAGGAATATGAAAAGAATTAAGAAATACTCTGAATAGACATGAATAATTCCTATATATAATACATATATTCACCTAATAACTTTTGAAGTTACAACGCTTTCAAACCAAGAAATAAAAGCATTAAGGAATTTCACTGTATGATGTACAGTAGAATATACTTGTTAAAAGAACTTTGTTTTCTTGCAAAGGAAAATTATAATTTGCTTCATCCTTATATTTATTCACAGCTATCATTTTAAGATCTTTATTTACAAATGATGTGAACTTTTTGGCTACAAAAACATGAACGATGGTTTTGAAACTTGATCTCATATATTATATACGTCACATAAAGAAAGCCAATAGCTTAAAAAAGAAGGTTGAAAACAAATGTTCCTACTAGATCAATTAAAGATATACTACAGTTAAAATCAGCTAAATGGCACTTTTTTTGATGAGAAAACGCAATAAAATCCTAAACAGGAATTCAATATTTTGACTAAAATTAAATAACCAAACATACCATGTTTTTTCAAAATAAATTGTTTGTTTTTATTATTTCTGTCAATTAACTTTGAAATTAATGATTAATTTATAAGATCTCTGATGGATTTTACAAAAGGAATAGATAAAAATCAGGATGAAGAAGAATATGTAGTGCATTGTTGGGCGCAGTGTTTTCTCATGTATTCTCGTTACGCTTGGTACAACCAGTTTAAACAGTGTAATTGAAAATTCATCAATAATTTAGAAAACCACACTGTTGGATCTACACAACAAAACCACTTAACTATAGTGATCTTTCTCTCTTGTATGCATTTTATGGATCCCATACGACATACTCCTTCCTATAGGTTATAACTTCAATTAACATCATCAAAAAAGCAAGACTTTGAACATCGTTTGAAGAGATAACAAATCATTCAACTGAAACAATGAATGACCATCTTTCCTTTGCCAAAACAAATTTCATTTTTTGCATACTCCTTAAGCTTTAAATACATTATTTTGATATGTAGGTATGCCATGGACACGAATGAAGTTTAATTATCAAGAAAAGATAGAAAATTGCACGAAAATGTTCGAAAAAGATACGAGATTTTAAAAAAAAACTGTTAAAGATAAAAAATCAATATCAATTTTATTCCAATTGTTCATGGATTTAACATATAAATACCCTACCAATACAAGTCACTAGGCGCATATATGAAAAATTATYAACACCCACTGAAATTGACAACCATACGAAAGCGACAACTAGGAAATCAGCGATGTGAATATTCTATCGCGCGCAAGCCATTCCGGTTTCTAATCAATATAAACCTACCATACGAAATTCTTTGATTGAGCAGACAAAGAAAGGCACATCGGGTCTCTGACTGTCCACATAGACGCAATCTGCAGGGGGAAAACGAGAAAAATGTTATGTTTTTGAAAGGTTATTAAACTAATAAAGGGAAAATATACGACCTGTCACGGGAGAAATGTGTTTATTTTTCTTGTACTACACCTTATGTTTGAATAAGAGCCACCTATTGTTACAAGTTAAAAGGTTGCCAAATAAATATCGTTAAATTTCCTCTACAAATCTTGAGAAAAAACTCACCTAAAATCACATCCATAAAATCCGTGGAATTCTTAAATGTTTAGAGAACGTATTAATAGATTTAAGGTTGAATGAAAGGCTATTGTTTTGAATGTAAATTTGATAATCGCAACCAAAACTTTAGAATTATTCAAAGGTCCCCGCTAACAAATAACATAGCCTTGAGCAAGAAAAAAAAAAAATCTATAAAGAAATAATAATCACTATAAAGTTGTTTCCCCAATAAACACTACTATTACACCCCCAAAATATTCTCAGACATTTGGAAGATAAGTCTAGTTTATCAAACAGGTCTAGTAAATTAATATAAACACAATATGAACAGTTTGAAAAGCCATTTTTTCCTCCGATTCTTTTACTGATAATAAAAAGAACAATATCTTACCTCCAGGTTCATAGCATACATCATCTTCTGAAGTAAAACTCAACGTAGTTTCAGCGTTTTCTAAATTAATTTTCGGTTCAGAATTTTCCACTTTGGGTTTGGATGAGCGTCGTGATTTGAGAGGTTCTCCTCGCTTATCTTCGTCTCTTTGAATATTCGAGTTCATATTCATATCAACAGTGCGTTTTATTCCTAATATTCCATTGGAAGAAGTTGGTTTCATCCTCTTTTGGGGATAATAATATTGTCTAGTTTTTCCTCGATCCACCGTAATCCAGAGGCTCTATTATCCGTCACGCCGTCTTTGCCTTTGTTCACAACACCACACGATTCTCAAACTTGGTTTGAGGACCACGATTTATATCAGATTTGCTCAGAACCCTATGAAAATAGAATAAAATAACTGTTAAAGGTTAAATTCATAACTTGTAGAACATAATCGCGTCCAGCAGTTTCAACACCTTTCAGCGAATGTAATTTTTAATTTATTCACGTAATTAGTCACCACAAAAGACAAACTTGTAGTCAGGAAATCGTAAGTTTAGAGAAGTACAATTCTTACTTTTGAAAAAACTGCCTCAAAATCTGTCCCATATACCACGATTTCCAGTAAAAACTATCTGTGATGAATAGAACACAAAAGCACATTTAAAAGTGTTTTAAAGTTGGAGAGTATTAAGCTTATTTGAGGGTTTTGCCTGATCGAATATTCAATGTTTTTCAAAAGACGAGAACAGTAAAAACCACACCAGCATATTGTTGTTCATCCAAACCGTTTGATTCCAATCATCAATAAATACTTCAAAATCAGATTCGTATAGTTGAATTTAATGCTTGATAAACTTTAGTTTAGCTTTGCTTGACCTCTGTCTCAGTTCTAGATATCTTGGGATTTTTGAAGGAGTTTTCCAAAAGGACAAATAAAGGCTATCAGTCTTATTGTTTTAAAACATTTAAGCTTACTAGTATTTGATCTGCGAAGTGAGGCATGTCTTTGAGTGGTGAAAAAAAGTTTCAAATGTAGACCGAGGTTAAAAGAAATCTTAGATTTCGACAGTAATTATTAGCGGTTTTTGAACGAATACTTAAATGGTAAAGATTTGAGTTAAAATCGCTTCTCGACACTAAAGGGTATTCAATGCACGAATTGAATAAAGAAAGAAATTACTAGAGCTTACCGTTAAACGGTAGAGTGAATATACCTATCTAAATTCGCTGCATAAAGTCCACTTTACTGTGTAGCTAATAGCAAATACTCTCTAAATAACATGTACGGTAAATTACATATGACTGTTGTAAATAATGTTATTAGCATAAGAAATGTCTCGACAAGCTATTCGGTACTCAAACCGTTTACTTCACTCAATTCAAAAACAAACTCCACAAAATTCCTACCCAAAACCAAACAAATTTACCTTCAGACCTTGACRCTGGTTAAAATGTACACGTTGGTGGTACAGAGGTATTTTTATGGAGTAATTTTATGGTCATCTGGGGTCGATTTAGGCAAATGTCACTAACATGTATCTTGACACTGAAATCTGCACGCTCAAAGTCACTCAACCGAACCTGGTCTTTGAAGAATCGTGTAACGCTACAAAACCTAAAACTTCTTACCTCTGACTTGCTTTAGGTTCGTGTTTGTTCTAGATCGTCTAAAACCACAGGTTTTGACTATTTAAGAGAAATAGAAGAGAGCCATGGTGCGAGACTCMATAGAATAGCAGATGTAGGCATTGTATGAGTGATTGGTATTGAACAAGGGATAAGTAACACGAGACAGGGACATGCAATCTGATTGGCTTACTATAACCAAATGTGTGAACTCTTATATGACACCTGCAATACTATTTTGATTAGAAACTTAAGTACGAGTAGGGCTTTTGATATTAACTGTAGGCTCCATTTCGTTACGAAAACGACAAGAAACCCACTCTACATCCTTACAGGAGCGAGGCGAGTGAATATCGTTGTTTGCAATGCCTCGTTGCGGGCGTTAGTTTTACAAGGGCATATATGTGTTTCCCACCTTCATTGTTGAATTATTACTATCTCATAATAACCCCGTTGACAAATGGACATAGTTCATTCTGTAAACACTATAGGGCTGTGTCAATCAGAGCTTAACACCCAAAATCGACGCCTGTGTTGAAAAATTGACCGTCAACCCAACCGAATTATGTCATATTCTCCTTTGTTCATTCTTGAGTGAACAGAAATAACTGAGTTTATATTGGGTAAATTAGATTATGGTAAATGTAAGCTCTCGATCTTAGAAGACGGTTTGCGCGCATTCAACCTGAAAACTCGCGTGGCCTTTGTATTCAGAATTGTATTGTTTTTAGCAATTGCTCAAACGAGTTTGATATCCTACAACAATAGATACAGCCTGACCATGGTGGTAATTTTTTTCGTTCTCATTTTTTTAACCTTAAATTTTACGTGCAGGTACCACTAAGTTTGTTTACCTTTGAGGCTAAATTGTTGAAAAATATGAAGTATAAGTTGGTTTAAAAAAAGATCACATTGCACGTTAATCAAAAACAAAACATAATTAATACTTTGAATAAAAATATTAATATACCATCAAACGAAACTTTTTTCATGTTTATATTACTAAGGTCAAAAAATTAAAAACTACATATAACAATTTAAGCATATTTTTTTCTCACAATTATCTCGTATTTTTTTCTTTCCTGAAACCGGAAATAAGATGGGGCTTTCATATATCGAAAAAGCTAAAAATAAATAATCGGACCTACTTCGATTAGGATTTCGATTGCTTTGAAGCAGAAAAATTAATCCAGGGTTAGGCATATTTCTCTTTACCACCTCGCTAAAATATTTAGCACAACCACGACTCTATGACCGCACAGTTCGCCAGTAATCCATATTTGTTCAGCGTGAAATAAACACTACATTTAAAAAGATGTTATTCAAATTTGTATTATCAATATGGAACAACAAAAGAGTTGTTTTTGGTTGGCTTTCGAAATTTGTTTGAAGAAAGCCATATTTTATTGCGTTGAGATTGACAGATCAACACTTATTACATTTTGATAGTAATCTGTCTGCCAACTAGAATCGCATATAACACAAACGTAATATAAATCAGACTTCGACTTTCCATCGTTAATAAGGGCATACGATAAGGAATAGTTTGATTACAGAAATTTAGAAACTAGCCAGCCAAACCTGAATGTTCTTGTTCGCAACACGACCAGTTCAAGTACACTTTTTTGCGGTTTAACAGACAATCCGTAAGAACTCGAGGCGTAAAATTCTTTGCGGTTAAATGACATAGATTTAGATGTATCTCGGTTTTCCTCAAAGAAATTCCATCTGGTCTTAGTTTATATTCTAAAAATTATATCAACAAAGTCATAATGCACAAGCAGGCATGCATGTTTCACGCACTTTATAAGTACTCCATACAAAAGCAATTGACCTAAACTATGCAATGTATAATAATAGTTCCCTTTCGAAAATCAAGACATGTTATCATTGCCAAATCTAAAGCAAACTAAACAAATTCATGGCTTAGGAAAAAACGTGTTACACATTAATACATGTTAGAGATAAATTATTTCAAAATGGATTAGAATTCGCTAAGCAGGACATCAAGTTAATTATCGTTAATTACAAGGACATATCGTGAAGACTGCTACTGCGTTACCATTAAATCTAAATACCCTCAAATCGTTATGAAAACTTTGGTAATTTTTCGTTATTTCATAGTTTAAAGGATAATCTTCGTAGAATCTTATGGTTTATCTATTATGAATACGATGTGTAATAAAGAACTTGAATTATATTGCTCGTTCTTTGATGAATACACTTGAAAGCGAGGAAGGTTACTACTGAAATTTGAATTCAAAAACCAAGGCTTTGACCTGTCTTATACTTATAAAAGCAAAGTTAGGAATTGAACGAAGAAAGATAGTGTTTTTTGATATAGTTTGAGTAAAAATGGTGCTATTCATGTGCTACTTTCGCTTGCTGTATAGCATGGTGAGCTTACAATGGATATCATTCAAATCCAGCCGCATTTTAGACAAATAACAGTTTCAATCTTCTCGCACGCTCTGTACAAGCGTTACATAAACTTTAAATCGTGTTAAAAGTTATGATATTTACCTGGATTGAGGAAAACTCGTGAACTGTGAGAAAAAAGAGGGTTTTGTCTTTATCTAAGGCGATCAGAAACACGACTCAATACCACATATCCAATTCAAAGAGATAAATAAGCCCCCAGGGGACGTCAGCTACGATAATCGAGGACCGGAAGTGACATAAACTAACAAATAAAAAACGAAAGGCCATCGAACTCGTCGCTGCTCTAGACGAATTATCGAACTTTTCTCATAACACTTCGAGCGAAAATATTCTATCGATATTATCTAAGTTTTTGTGTCTAAAATGGAAGTAGTTTTGGGAAAAAGCGACGACATTTCTTTTTTGTGTTTACTGATTGAAAATAACCGACATAAAACAAAAGAAGTTGACAAAAAAAATGACACAGCATTCGAGAGTTAATTGAAGCAGAAAGGTTTTTCAAGTTGATTCCCCTTGGAATAAGGATTAAGACACTGAGGTTTCTATTCACGAAGTAATACACGAGAAAGATTTTTCTAGTTTTTAAGGAGATCAGTCAAGGACTGGAGTTTTAACGTTTATAAAATCATTTTTTAGCGAATGTTAGAATTATCTAATATTGTTTGAAAACAGCTGGTAATATTTATAAGAGTAAACAGAACTTGAAGCATTCATCTCTACGAAAATGAACGATTTTTATGGTTCAAGTCTAAAGGAAATCAAGTGTACGTCAATCGCTAAATCATTATCAACTAGCGGGCTATTGATATTTAGACGATTTAGATATGGATGTGGCCGTCATTTGAATTTATATTGTTACGGTAAAGTTCGATCAGCGATCAGTAGGGATCGGAAAGAATGCACGAAAGAAAACTAATAGCATTTGAAAGACCAAATTTATAATGTGTGTTTTTTAYACATTTTGAAGAAACTGACACTTTAATTTGTCATATTTACGTACGTCCGACATAGCGCTTTTTCGCCAATCATTATCAATATTTTGGCATTTGTAATTCAATAATATATTCAAAATATATTTGACGTCTTAAGATATCAATATTAATCTCAAAAAACACCGGGTCGTATTGTTTTACGTGTATTTTAACATGAAACTTAAGAAATGCAGTTTGCGGAACAGTTTTATCGCTTTATCCTTGCGGGGTCAACGATTTTTATAGATATGTAGTCCTGCATTTAAAAAGTCTAAAAATAATAAGATTAACGGCCAAAGATAAAAAGTCCAAATATTTTCGATGCCCATAGACAAATCATTGTGGATCGGCGCTTCAAGATACATTTTAAAAATATTTCTTCAAAAGGAGCTTCCGGAGTGAGAAAAGTAGCAGTGAAAAAGAGAACGAGAAATTTTGTTTCCAATCACTGAACGCAGGGAAAAGTTTTCCAAAAAGTCAGTAATGATTAATAGATTTAAAGATAAATGAATTAATAAAAATAAAGTAAAAAAACAATACCAGACACATTTTATCGACAGGAGAAACTACTTAGGATCAGTAAAGGATATTTAGCATTATCGCGCGCAAGACGCAAACACTAGCGCTTGATTATATCATGAATGTCTCATGTGAATATCAAAGTATACAGAAGCAATGACTAGTGAGTGACTAGCCCCTGAGGTAATAATACTACGTATGGAATTTCAATGATGAAGTTCGCAGTCGACACGGAATCGCTACACTCTGCATGTAGAGTTAGACGAAGTTTTTCTTCACTACCCTATCAATAATACCTCAGAATGAAAGTACTAAATGAAAGAATGAACAAAAATAGGCGCGCGAACAGGTAAATACGGATAGATGGTCACAAATGAAAGAAGTCAAGTGTGCTATTTTAATATTAAAATCACATTACTGATGTAATGATTATCACGTATGTGAAGAATATCTCAAGAATCTTACATATTGAAGTGAAAATATATTTATCTGACCGACAAGATAACTGATTTCGATATTAGATAACGTATAATTTTACTCTAAGAAAAGATAAGTTTTCGCTAAATTTTGGTTCTATTGTGCTTTAATAAAACGCAGGAATTCATTTATCCGTTTATGAGATTTTCCAAGTGTTGACATATTTTTGAAGTGTTGAATTTCTGGTTGTCTCATTGCGTGACTGTGAAATCGACGCGTTGCGTTACTTGGTGGCATTCTTTGAGGGCGAATGGAATATGACCAGATAAGGGGGCTTCCGATAAACGATTATAAATGGGCAGACCCAAACAGTATCATGATAAAAGATTGCTTGCTTTTTCTTCTTGTTGGAGGTGAATGGGTGGGATGTGAGGGGTGGTGGTAGTATGTAACACGAGTGAATGATAACGCGGGAAATAATCCAACGACGCAGGCAAGGAATCGACGGAGCGAATGGTGCGAGGGGGAAAATGAAAGAAAGCTGGTATTTAATATCCATGCTCACCTTTCTCTGTCCTCACCCCTTCTGATTCGCTCTTTTCTTAGTCTCTTTTATCTCGCAGCTACACAGACACAAACTGAACGAAAACTGATCGGAATTTCATGGCATGATCTGAGCAAACGTGCATGTAGACCTACACTAAGCCTTTCAAAACAATATCTTTGCGGCTCAATCACTCAACTGGTGCCAAAGTTCAAGTATACAGACTAATAGTCTGACTAAAGGTTTGACGTGACGATAGAATGATGTTGACCAGACTTGATAGAATAACACAACCAACCACAGGTAGACCAATTTCTGTTTTTTGCAGTCAAAATACAAATGTATCGAACTTCCCAAGAAATCTGGACTTTCAAAGTGCCTCGAACATAGCCTTGCCAAAATTAAATTGTGTATGGCCRTACTGCCAAAGATCAAGCTGGCGTTACCCATGGTGACGTGTGGCGTGACACTCGGTTCTGATGGAACTACAACGGTACAATTCCATGTCACGCTCTATACCCTTAAAGTACGTAAGCCCACTTAAGTTTCTTAGATTATCTTTTTTGATTCTTGTGTGCACGGATATTCAGACACACCCACCCACCCACCCACCCCACCCCTCATTTAGTGTTCCATATGTTTCAAATGCAACAAGGTATCAATATGACCTGACAAAAATCTTCTCGCTACGTGGGTCAGCCCAAACGTGTGTCTGTCTGGTATGGAGTAAGCTTCCTCCCTATACCATAGAGAACATGTACTGTGTGTGACCCTAACCCGTGGGTAGCCATATATATGCCACAATCTGTATATAACATCCTGCTGTATTTAGTATACATGCAGACTGACAGTCTGGTATGTGCTTAAGAAAAACCTTTGGTAGGATATGCTGTTATGCAGCCTTTTCGTCAGTGGCGGCGACGCATTCATCTCGACGCATTCCCTGTCGTATCCTATAGGGGCCGGCATGTATAATTACACATCGCGGTATCCATCGGCGCACCGTATACTCACCCGGTGCTAGTCACAATCGGTGTTTGGATTATATATAACCCTTATGATATCAACATCTTTATCACTGGTTACGGCACGCTGAGACCATACTCTTCTATCAACAATTATAATACACAAACAATAGGCCATGACATCACAGATATTCAAGTCTTAAAACCCCCTCGATTGAAAACAGTGTAATAGTGATTTTGAAGTAATCTGTTCGCATACGGCAATGATCGCGTTTACCAACCTTTGAACTTTCAACATTAACAGAAAATTCTTTACAAAACTGCGCTTAGTGAAAAAACTTTGCTAACATTATTGAATTCCTGATAAATCATCACACGCTGATTATACTTTAAAACAACATTCCTTTTGGTGCGATAAACTATCTTATAAATACCTCAATCGGCATATCAACCCGTCCATAAAATAAATAACACACAGGAATGTAAAATGTTGGATTTTGATTAGGAACTTAGTGTGTTTACACTGGATTGTGAGAACATCGTCACATCTTGCTGGACTTTTCTGTGAACATCTCGTTTAGATAGTATGCATATAATAGTCTGTAAGCCATGAMAGAAGATAGTCAAGGTACTTCACTTAGAGCTACTTAGCAATCCATTCCAACCTTGAATTCCTATCACCCTTCCTACCCCAATTCGGCGTACACTTGCTCTACCCACTCACCTCGGAAATAAGAATCTCTTCTGGTTATGAAATCGAGCGGACTGATCAACGAAAGCACCTCTAGTGAAGATCAAACGCAGAGAGCTGTGGCTGTTGTCTCGTATTAAACGGCGGGGTACTTGAATGATAGCTTGATAAAGAGAATCTATTTTGTAAAGGTCAGATGACAATCGTTTGCAGTACTTCTCCGCCCCCACGACCCATAGTTATGATGCTAGAAGAGAACAAATACAACAAGACAACTCGCTTGACGTAATCAAATCTCTACAAAGGAAAAACAACAATGCATAAATAATCTATGGTTGATATTGAAGAGGTGATTATAAGACTATTAATACTAAGTAAACTAAGGGATCTTTGTCACGTTTAGGTCACGTCATATAATATGTGACAGCTCCAATTACCAATGCTGGCGTAACATTTTGGTCATCTGGTGCTGTCAACGTTTCGAAACTAATACTGACCTGTTTAAGGGGGAGTACTTTCAAGGATCGATAGGCTGTCAATAGACTGATTTCACAAAGTGACTCTCAGCGTTTCCCCTCACCAGGGACTCCTCTTTCGCTTCTCTCCCGAGTACGCTCATCACATAGGCCTCGGAGGTGTGTGTGTGGGGGCTAAGATTGAGACTAGTATGGGAAAAAGTTGGGGGGGGGGGGGGGGGCTAAGATTGGAAAATATAAGAGACTTGTATAAGAAAAGGGAAAAGGTACCTCAACCCTCCACGGCTCCTGCATTGGTATAATGACTTAGCAGCAGCCAGCCAAGTATGGCTATTGTGTTCCTACCCCTACCCCCCTCAATATTAGCTTACAGATAACTCACTCGACTGAATTGAGAATATATATTTAGAGCTTTACAATCTACAAGGTAATTTCAATTTCTCTGTTCAAATATTATAGGAATCTGACATTCTCGTTCCAAGAGCCCGCGGTCCTCGTGGTCTCCGCAAAGTGAAACGAAGGGCTCTGTTCGATTCTGTTATCTGATTGGCTGATACAACAGATATTAAGTCCGAAACCAAAACCAGCCCAGTCTAACAGCGTCGAGCACTACAGCTATCAATAATACGATTATTCCTATCTTGATCCACATATGCATCGATCCGGACTTTGTGCACGATCCACTCGTGAGCATAACATCCTGTTTAATACCGCTGACTACACCCTTGGGTAAGGGCTCAGCAAGGCCAGGAGATCGTACGTCTGTTTTATTGAATAATGTACCAATAAGGAAGTGTTTCCCAGTGGTCGTGATTGTAACCTTGATAGTTTTACCCATTAAGTCTCCTTCGTCTTTACGAACAAGAACCTTTGAAAGTAATAAATGGAATAAATGAATACATGAGCAAGTGAATAAAAGGTTGGTAGATGGGATGGGATGGGATAGGATGAGATGATATGGGTACGGATGGAGAGAAAGGTTGGATATGTGGATGTATAGACAGCCCGCGGAGTAATGTATGGGTAAATGGAAGGGCGTTTGGAAGGATGGATGGATACACCGATTATTAAATGAATAAATGGATGAGTGGTTAGAAGAATGAATGAATACACAAAAGAAAGGATGGATAAATTGGTGGATAGGTGAATGGATGGATGGATGGAGTGTTGGATGAATGGATAAACAAAAGGATGGGTGGATAATGAAAGGATCGACAAATGAAAGTACGGACAGACCGAAAGACGAACATAAAGATTCATGGAAGACGAAAAATACCTTCAAGGATTAAGAGTAAAAGCAAAGGTAAAGCTAACCTGGTCATATGATTTATTGTGTCCAACATAATGGATTCCATCATGAGACTCTTCAGTTATTAAGACATCTTGAACCCATCCAACCTGTTAACACAATCAATCCATCATCAGTATCACTTCTACCTCATGCCAGATGGTACATAAGGCTTCAAACGAGTTCCACCTCAGCAAAAAGAAATAAAAAAACATTTTGAATTCACCATTTTCCATACTTCGGTTCAATGGTCAAACACAAAGCATTCAGTCGAGGTTGCAAGGTTCAAATTTGAATAATCCTTTGAAAATACCTTGGCATTGCTTGAGCGCTTTGTGTTTGATCAATGAACCAATGTGTGGAAAATGGTGAATGAAGAGACAAGTCTCTCTCTACAAGGTCTTGTAATCACTGTTGGGCTTAAAATAACGGCCAGTTAATTGCCGATCATGATAACCTGCCAAATTAATTTTAGCTGGGTCATACCTCATTTCTGGCATAATATTCTGGTCAAAATGCCCGGCAAGAAAAACATTTGACTGGACAAGATCCAATTCTGGCAAGATATTGTGCAATGCCCAGCTGTTATTTTAAGCCCTGCACATAATGAGTAAGTAAGGTAAATGATATTGGGGTACAGATACTTACTTTCCTGTCATAGGTGGTATATGAATGAAAAAGCTTTGACACCTCTCTTGTTCTTTTTTTAACCTAAATAGATAATACATTGATCAGAAACTGGAAGGAGAAAAATGGCAGCCAAAATGTTGATACATGGGCAGGGAAGTTACAGGGGCCATGTAGAGCTCACAGTACAGAGAAAGGGACAGCACAATGCAGAAGCATTGATAAGGGCGTAGGATCGGGAACATCTTAAAGACATTGACAGATATACGACRGAACTTTGAGTGAACATTTAAGGAAGCATGGGTGGCGTGGGGGTGAGAGTGCTCCCCTCTTATCAATGTGACCTGAGTTGGGATCCTGCCAGGTTCGGTGTTGTATGTGAGCAGAGTTTCTAGYCGGTTCTCTCCTGTGCTTCAAGGGTTTTTCTCCAGGTTCTCTGCTTTTCCTCCCTTCGCAAAATCAACTCATAAATTCCAATTCAGTCATGGAACGAGGGCACAGGTTTGTTAGCCGCTGGCTATTAAGTGCTATCCTCATAAAAATGACGGTTATTGAAAGGGCAGGGACAATATAGTGATAGTGCAAAGACTAGAGGATGAACAACAATGAAGAAGGAATTCTTACCTCTTCTGTCGGCAGGCGTTTCATTCTTGCAGCAGGTGTACCAGGTCTTGGATAAAACTGATTGATAAACAGACTCGGAAACCTGTACTTGTCAACCAGTTCCATTGACTTCTGGAAATCTTCAGGAGTTTCAGTTGGGAACCCACAAATAAGATCTGTTGCTATGGTGATATCTGGGACCCTGGAAAATGAAAAGATGCTTCAGGTCTAATAGTAGTTGTTTTACCCAGTTTTTAATCTCAGACCATGTGTTATTCTCTTGAGTATATTTTATGGTTTGACAGTAATGCTGGACTAGATGCATCAATACCATCATCACTACCATCAACAGCACCACAGACATCTTCATCATGCATTCCTCCTCCTTGCCATCATCATCATCATCAGTATCATCCTCATCATCATCATTATCATCATTCATCACCATCATCATTCACTCCTCCTTGCCATCACCACCATCATCATTATCCTAAGTCATTGTCACCAACATTATCAGCATTGCCATCATCATTATCATCCTCTATCATCATCATCATCATCACCACCAATCATCATCAATCATCACCGATATCATCATCATCATCATCCATTCCTCATCATCACCACCACCAATCCTGTAAAATAAAATACCATTAAATTCATGCATCAAAGTATTAGAGTGAGTACCTCTCCTTCAAGAATTCAACCACATGACAGAAGTCTCTTGCAAAATATTCTCTTTTCATGTGAGCCAGAACATTATCTGAACCACTTTGAACAGGGACGTGAAGGAACGAATACACCTTTGGATGGTTGAGTAGTTTGGCCATTTCCTTTTTACAAAATAAAGCATCATTCAGATTTCTCATTGGGAACACTCCTCATTAACAAATTATCTCTCCCTCCCCTCCCCCAAAATGCATGCATGTTACAAATACACTCCCAATGTAAAGTGGGCTTCTCTTACCCCAAAAATACATGCGTGCAAAAATATGACTAGGATTTTTCTTGAGTGGGTCATTCACCACTTACCTCAAAAAACAATCCCTCTATCTCTCTCCCTCTTCTTTTCTTTTCTCTCCGAAAACACATGCATTTTACAGATGAACTGCCGGTGGGAAGAGGTTCTCTCTACCCAAAAAGACATGAGCATTTGGCCGATCATGTACCAAATTTAGTCAGACATTGTCCATTGACCAGCCATTATTTCGAGCCCTGGAGCCAGGATTATACGCCAGTGGGTCACTTGTAATAATTTACCTCTGTCAAACGATCTTCACTATAAAGATAGCAGGAAAATATACAGTACCTCTAAATGTTCCAGTATATAAGGTGGGTTTGTCATCCCTATGCGAAGGTGGGCACCATCAGGTATCACTTCCACTAGTTTCCATAGCAACTCTGGTAGAGATGTACCTATATCTCGGCCATATGCCCCAGTGTCTTCAGAAGTCAACCATATTTCTACCACACCCTCTAAAACATTAGACAAACACTAGTCATTCATTCATTGATGTTAATATCTGGCAACTCTTACTACCATTTAATAACACAATATGCTATGAAATATGTCGTGAGAGGTTATAGAGTTTGAGGCCTCTCCAAGCGTCAGTGAAAAATCCAAGTTTACCTCAAAAATTATTACTTAAAATGAAATAGTTGTTTAAGGCTATCAAGACAATTTAGTTTTTGGATTAAATATCATGTCTGGAACAGAATGGCCAAAGATCCTATTCTGCTTCTATGCTATCCAAAATCCAGGAATATGTTTTCTCAATATGGAAAAAACAATTTTAAAAGAAATCTTGATTTTTAACAAAATTCTAGCATATTATCACTAGTTATGAATATAGAAATAAAATTCAACAAAGGAAAGCCACAAATTCGGTGTAAAAAACCCTTTTCGATCCGCACAATCCAGTTGACCATTCCATGCATGCCCGGTTCYGAATTTTCCAAAATTAAAAAACTCTCATAATTCAGAAACTAGAAGCATGATTCAAATTGTGATGATTGGGAATGTTTTTGCTATTCACTAAGATTAGGTATGGCCTTTCAAAAGTTAAAAATACCCTTTTTTTTTTTTTTTGAAATCTAAGATCCAGTCAACTGATATCCAGTGCATTCCATCAACACTTGCTTCTGGTTTTTTCCTTCTAAAAAAATCCGAATTTAAAAATAATGAATTGAAATGAAATAGTCGTTAAAACCTATCAAGAAAAATTAGATTTTTGATAGAACATAATGTCTAGAAAAGAATGGTTGAAGATCCTGTTCTGCTTCTATACTATCCAAGATCCAGTATTATGTTTTCCAAATATGATTTTTTTTTTTTTACAAATCTTGATTATTTATAAAATCATCCTTGATTCCCTATGTGTGTAAAATCTTACCATCAAATGCTTGTTTTGCTCTGTCTACAATCTCTTCAGGTGCATAACTTCCCAATTCTCCTCTGGCATGTTTGGTCTTGCAGTAGGTACACTGGTTTAAACATCTTTATCAACRACAACAAGAAGCAAAGATTACAATCACTATACTGCCTATGAAAAACGAGTGAAAACGCTGTAAAAAAAATTATTTGAAATGTACCAACGATATGAAAGCAAGGCTGATAGGCTCTTGGTAGTTTTCAAGTACAAGTCTTTTTAATTTCAAACAGCTGTAGCTTTTTATCATTTAATGCTACTTCTCTGAAATTTTGGAAGATCACTAATTTTGGCATACTCTTTCCAATGAAAGCAATGGTGTCTTCTATAACTGATAAACTACAGTATCTCAATGGCAACACCCTTTTCCATTGGGTGTATAATAAAGCCAGCAAACACATTCTCGTTTGTGAAAATTGTGGAGATTCCTAATTGGTATAGTATTAAGAATTAACTATTTCTTACCCAGTATTAACAGCAATGATTTCAACTAATGGGTTTTTTCGTATTTTAGGAAGATCTAAAGCAGCCCCACCAGCTTTTCTGCCTTCTTTTTTCTTCTGACTTAGTATTCTTACTGTGTGACCTGAAAAATGGAGGKAAGGAAAGGTTTTAAACCAGATAAGAAGATACTTTTATCTACATTCACTCTTTACCTTTCAAAGTCTCTTCTACAACTTCAACAACTCTGTCAATTTGTTGAACCTGAAGAAAATAGATTACAAAATATATCACCACCAGTGTACTGTACGGTATTGGCAAGAATATGCTAGGGAATCAACCTTGGATGATTCTAACTTAGATCAAYCCAGAGAAAGGTTTGGTAAAATGTGACACTGTTTTTTACTTACCCCTACAATACTGACTCCTTTGATTGYATCTTGTCTTGGCTGTCCCTGAGGAACACACCCCGCCACTACTAGATATTTGTTCTTCTCTTTAGCTTTCTTGATAGCATTTTTAAAACCATCTTCGGCAGGGTTCTTGACAGTACAGCTGTTGAGCAGCCATAAGTCTGCTATGTCTTGGTCGTCTAAAACCACAAGTGTCATTTTACATGTAAAATAAGACAATATCTGACATGGGTAACCCTCCCCACCCCTTGGAAATTCAAATCCCCCTCCATGGGGGAGGTATGCATATACTATAGAACTGAGCACGTACCAGTAATTTTGTATCCATATGCAGCTAGTTGCCCAGACATGTACTCACTGTCGCTGTTATTATGGGTGCAACCCCAGGTACRCACATATATACTCTGGGTACCCGGTATGATGCTATCTCCAACTGGTTTTTCCTCATTAGCAATTTGTCCATTACTGGTTTTCTTTCGATTTACTTTAGGAAAGACACCCTTACGAGGAGAAATACGATCATTGGGAGTGATATCTCCAGGTTTTACAAAGTCTTCAATATCATCCAAGTCATCACACACAGGCATGTCAACCACAAATAATTGTCAGGTATTAAGTTTCTTTGTGATCTAAACAAAAGAAACCACAATAAGGAGAGATGAACAATTGATGCAAGACATTTACGAGTCCTAAGAGTCTTAATGTTTAGACAACGATTTGAAACACGTACATTAGGCAACTATCAGGGATTGACAGTTCACTGCGATAATTCTGAAACTTGTGCTTTTCAGGTGCGCATTAAGTGATTTTAACGCCAAAGATTTAATTATTTAAAATGAGGGGTCCTGGGAACTAAGGGCTCATTGGTTTATTCTGATGGTTCAACAGTGCCATGTCGCTTGAGTAAGTTCACAAGATGTTACAATGTTAATTTGAGTGTATTATCCCTGTGACCTGAGAAGGGAATTCAAACTAGTTTGTTTGATGTAATTTGCACAGCAAAATTCTGTCACAGTAACAAAAATTTACAATAAAAATCATCATATTCCATAAAGAGAATTGTTCTAGCTGTGACCTAATCTTGCATCAAGCCCTTGCCACTTGTTCCCTACCTCAACCCATACCACCTAAACATGTCATCATTGTTATCATTTACGCCAGTCCCATGGATTTAAATTCAATACATATTTGAGAGGACGCTTTTCAAGTTTCTGGTCGTCCTTCACAACTAGCTTCCAGTGTTTTTGGTTTCCTTCAATCCAAAAAGAACAATTACTTATCGCGAAAAATTTGAAGGAAGGAAACCAGAAAACGAGAGAAAGAGCCGCCTCTGGTGTTGTCTATGTCAAAGAAATATAAAAAGCGCTCTTTATGGTAAATCATTTCTTTATACATACCTTTTTAGCTCAAGGTTAGCTGTTTCACGTGTCTCTAAATATCAAACGATAAAAACTATCCACAGACAAAATAGCCTTGAAAATAACTTAAAAGTTTCTGAGACAGTTAGGAATATGAAAAAGATAGCAGTTTTAGAGCATAAAGATTAAAAATATCGGCAAATAACTCAGTGATCTCAAGAGAACATTTTTTCTTTCTTCTCGTCCGCCATCTTGAATTTTATGACGCAATGTTATGTGGGTGAAACCCGCTGTTATTCAACCTCGCAGGCTCGTTTTATGCGTCACACAGTCACAAGTCACAGTTACGAGACAAATATGCTTTCATTTTCAGGCATATTGCGTCACGGTATTTGTAATTTTTTAATTTTAAAACGACCTAACTTAGTTTGAACCCTTCTACGATGAAATCAGGAACGGCTGTCTGAGGGAGRGAGGTTTGCTGGAGAAGATTGCGTGACGTACCCCGGATTTTTCCCCCTACACGGATGACGTCATTTCAAAAGCGAAAGTATTTGCATAATATTATAGCTAATTTTTGCGGAAATAAGTCATCTTGAAGCATACTGCCGAAGTTAGTAACTACCTTAGCACAAGAAAGCACAAGAAAAAAAAGATGAATTCAATCTTCGATATCACAGCTTTTTTCATTCTCTGTACTTTTGCTTCGGTATCCTTGTCATGTGATCCTGTTCCTTTGATTAAATCCAACGAGGGACACAAGCCTTGCATGTATTTAGACACCAGAGGGATCAAGACTATTGGCTACGGGTATAACATGCAGAACGCTGATGCTCCTGAAGTCTTCAAGAACCAAATCCATGCTGACTTTAATAAGTTTTTCAATGGGCCACTAACCC